AGAAATTAACTCTGTCTATGGCATTTACATATTAAAATTCTGAGAAAAATGGAACAATGTTATCATAAAGTGTACGGGCACTTGCTTTGTGTATGTGTTTTTTTTTGGCATGTTCAGTTGAATTTCTTCAATCAGAAATATCCCAGCAAGGGGTAAGCCAGGTGAAGGGTCTAGGCCCGAAACGTCAGCCTTCCTGCTCCTATGATGCTGCTTGGCCTGCTGTGTTCATCCAGCTCTACACCTTGTTATAACATATCACACTGACCTTTTGGGTGATCTGGTGAGTTGTAATATTTTTTCCTGTCATGATTATATCGTAAATTGTTTGTGTGGAATATTGATGGATCACACAGTTATAAACTGGAGAATTTTTTAGTAATGCTTTAGACAGAAATCTCAGTTGAGGGACTGTGCAGTTCACATGTATATTAGCGATTTACACATTAATCCATTAATATTAGAACATAAGAACATAAGAACTAGGAGCAGGAGTAGGCCATCTGCCCCCTTGAGCCTGCCCCACCATTTAATAAGATCATGGCTGATCTTTTTGAGACTCAGCTCCACTTACCCGCCCACTCACCGTAACCCTTAATTCCTTTACAGTTCAAAAATTTATCTAGCCTTGCCTTAAAAACGTTCAGCGAGGTGGCTTCAACTGCTTCACTGGGCAGGGAATTCCATAGATTCACAACCCTTTGGGTGAAGAAGTTCCTCCTGACCTCAGACCTGCATCTGCTTCCCTTTATTTTGAGGCGATGCCCTCTAGACCTAGTTTCACCTGCTAGCGGAAACAACCTCCCTGCCTCCACCTTATCTATTCCCTTCATAATCTTATATGTTTCTATAAGATCTCCCCTCATTCTTCTGAATTCCAATGAATATAATCCCAGTCTACTCAGTGTCTCCTCATAATCCAACCCTCTCAACTCTGGAATCAACCGAGTGAATCTCCTCTGCACCCCCTCCAGTGCTAGTATATTCCTTCTCAAGTAAGGAGACCAAAACTGCACACAGTACTCCAGGTGTGGCCTCACCAGGACCCTATACAGCTGCAGCATAGCCTCCCTGTTTTTAAACTCCATACCTCTAGCAATGTCAGACAAAATTCCATTTGCCTTTTTAATTACCTGCTGCACCTGCAATCCTACTTTTAGCCATTCATGCATAAAGACACCCAAGTCCCTCTGCACAGCAGCATGCTGCAATTTTTTACCATTTAAAACATAGTCCATTTTGCTGTTATTCCTACCAAAATAGATGACCTCACACTTATCAACATTGTACTCCATCTGCCAGACCTTTGCCCACTCACTTAGACTATCTATATCCCTCTGTAGACTTTCAGTGTCTTCCGCACACTTTGCTCTACCGCTCACCTTCGTGTCATCTGCAAATTTTGACACACCACACTTAGTCCCCAACTCCAAATCATCTATGTAAATTGTAAACAATTGCGGTCCCAACACTGATCCCTGAGGCATACCACTAGCCACTGACCGCCAACCAGAAAAACACCCATTTACCCCTACTCTTTGCTTTCTACTGGTCAACCAATCCTCTATCCATGCCAATACATTACATGTAATGCCGTGCAACTTAATCTTATGTAGCAGCCTTTGCTGCGGCACCTTGTCAAATGCCTTCTGGAAATCCAGATACACCACATCCACAGGTTCCCCATTGTCCACCACGCAAGTAATGTCCTCAAAGAATTCCACCAAATTAGTTAAACATGACCTACCCTTCATTAAACCATGCTGGGTGTTCCCAATGGGACAATTGATATCCAGATGTCTTGCTATTTCTTCCTTAATGATAGATTCAAGCATTTTCCCCACTACCGAAGTTAAGCTAACTGGCCTATAGTTACCTGCTTTTTATCTACTTCCTTTTTTAAACAGTGGCGTCACATTGGCTGTTTTCCAATCTGCAGGAACTACCCCAGAGTCCAGTGAATTCTGGTACATAATTACTAGTGCATTTGCTATTTCCCCCATCACCCCTTTTAGTACCCTGGGATGCATTTCATCAGGGCCAGGAGACTTGTCTACCTTTAGCCCCATTAGCTTGCCCAGCACTGCTTCCTTAGTGATAATGATAGTTTCCAGGTCCTCACCTGCTATAACCTTCTTGCCATTAGTTTTCGGCATGTTATTTGTGTCTTCCACTGTGAAGACTGACACGAAATAACTGTTTAATGTCTCAGCTATTTCCTCATTCCCAGTTATTAAATTGGCCTTCTCATCCTCTAAAGGACCAATATTTACCTTCGCCACTCTTTTACGATTTACATATTTATAGAAACTTTTGCTGCCTGTTTTTATATTCTGAGCTAGTTTACTCTCATAATCTATCTTACTTTTCTTTATAACTTTTTTTGTGGCTTTCTGTTGGCCTTTAAAGATTTCCCAGTCTACTAGTTTCCCACTAATCTTTGCTTTTTTGTATGTGTTTTTTTTCAGTCTGATACTTTCCTTTATGTCCTTAGACATCCATGGCTGGCTGTCTGTTTTCCTACAGTTCTTCCTTATCACTGGAATATACTTCTGCTGAGCACTGTGAAAAATCGTTTTGAAAGTCCTCCACTGTTCCTCAATTGACCCACCATAAAGTTTTTGCTCCCATTTTACCTTAGCTAGTTCCTCCCTCATCCCATCATAGCCTCCTTTGTTTAAGCACAGGACATTGGTACTGGATTTAACCTTCTCATGCTCCATCTGTATTTTAAATTTGACCATACTGTGATCGCTCCTTCCGAGAGGATCCCTAACTGTGAGATCCTTAATTATTCCCGTCTCATTTCACAGGACTAGATCTAGGATAGCTTGCTCCCTCGTAGGTTCCATTATATATTGTTCAAGGAAATTATCGCGGATGCATTCTATGAACCCCTCCTCAAGGCTGCTATGACCGACCTGGTTTGACCAATCGATATGTAGATTAAAATCCCCCATGATAATTGCTGTACCGTTTTTACATGCATTAGCTATTTCTATGTTTATTGCCCGCCCCACCACAATGTCACTATTTGGTGGCGTATAGACCACACCTATCAGTGACTATTTCTATTTGATAGAAATTTCTATTGAATGGAATGCTTCTGTTCAATAGAGGTGGAAATCAGTTCAGTGGGGATAGAATTAGCTGATTGTAAATCTGAGTGATTTTATTTCTGAGTTATCAAATAATTTGTTTATGGTCAACTGGGCGGAGGAAAGAATGTTTTATTGGATGGTATTCTGATGGTTTGTGAAATATGCCAATGAAGCACCAAACTCACATGACAGTTGATTAGTTACAAGCTGGGACATTCAAGCTGTTTCACCACCAGCAAAAGTCTTTTTTTTGTTCTCCTGTCCCACAGCAGTAACTTTGTGACTTCTACAACAAGCTTCATCAGACTTTTGCCAAAACCGCAGCAATGTTTTCAGTACAACGTGTTTACAGATCCTCTTTGTGAGCAGCTTGTTGTTTTATTGCTGCCCCAGTGCATAGTCAGCGTGAACAGCTTTTACTCCTGGCACTGGAGTAGATGTGGACTGTGTGCCCTCGTCTGAGATCAAATATTGTCGCAGTGCAAACCTCAAATAACTTTAATATCAAAGTATATTCCCCCAAACCCAGTGGAAGCAGCATGTCAGAAAATGAAATGCATTCAGTACTGATGGAATTGTAAGCCAGTTTGAGTTGGCACCAGCAATATCAGAAGGAACAAAATTCTAATGGGGCTTTTGAACGCTAAGGTGAAAGGGACAGTTTGTTTATAGAGTCATACAGCATGGAAACAACTAAACTAGCCCCACCTGCCTGTGCTTGGCCCAATAACGCTCCAAATATCTCTTATTCATGTATTTATCTAAATGTCTTTTAAATGTTGTAACTGTACCCACATCCAGCACTTCCTCTGAAAGTTCATTCCACACACAAACCACTCTGTGTAAAGAAAATTGCCCCTTATGCCTTTTTTAAAATCTTTCCCCTCTCACCTTGAAAATATGCCCCCTAATCATGCAACTCCCACCCTAAGGAAAAAATATCTGCCATTCACCATATCTATACGCCTCATTATTTTATAAACCTCCATAAGGTCACCCCTCAACCTCCTACATTCGAGTGAAAAAAGTCCCAGCCTATCCAGTCTCTCCTTATAACTCAAACCCTCCATTCCTGGCAACATCCTGGTAAATCTTTCCTGAACCCTTTCCAGCTTAATAATGTCCTTCCTGCAACAGGGCAACCAGAACCGGACACAGTACTACAGAAGAGACCTCACCAACATCCTGTACAACCTCAACATGACATCCCAACTCCTATACTCAAAAGTCTGAGCGATGAAGGCAAGCATACAAAACGCCTTCTTAACCACCCTGTCTACATGTGACGCAAACTTCAAAGAATTATGTGCCTTCTTTGACATCAAATATTTTAGACTAATTTGCCGACCATCAGAAACAATGTACAAACTCTCATTTCAGTGATTATGATGGACAGTATACAGCTGACCTTCAATCCAGTAGCATTTATCATGAGCTCCCCTGTCTATCTATCTCGATTGCTGATTTGTGACTTACCATTTGTCATCCTCCTGAAAGCCATTATGAGATATGACAGAACAGGGAAGAGCATAAATAACTTTTCAAAAGCATTCTAGAAATGCACTACGCAATATCCAGAATTTGAAGAAGTAGAACAGATTATCTTTTAAACTGGAATCATTCTTGAGGACCGCGGTAGAATTGAGTTGATTATTTACCCCATCTGTAATAAATATCACAAGTAGTACAAACTTGGTTGAGAATGCATTTCTGAGCTCAATCAAAACTGCAATCCTGAGCAACTTTGTTAAAAAAGAATTTATTTGAAATGTTCTCTTCTGATGACTGCTGTATGTGTGGGCTGTGGGTGTCAAAGTGGCAGGTTCTCATCAATACCTTTCGTGGGAGAGTTCACAGGGACCTTTAGTACGTTATTTGACCACCAAAGAAAACCACTGGATCTGATTAAGATGCTCGTTTTATATCTTGTTCAGGAAAAAAATCTTAACATCTCAAAATATGACAGCACAGTTCCAGCTCTCATTATCGCTTCAGTTCTGGCAATTGCTCAGTAATATTTTGTTTATTAACAAAATTCTTGGACTAATTTTACAAAAATGTCACTGTTGATGAATCAAGGTAACTCATGGATTGCTTTACGCGATAGCTACAGGATAGATGCCAACCTGGGCTAGCTAACTCAATTTGAAAGGATTAGGGAAGAGAGTTCTGTGCTAATATGTGGCTATTATGTCTCACCAGAACTGTAAATTCCAAATGTTTTCAGTGTGCTGGTTGAAGCCTATAAAGTATCCCAATCTGAGGTTCCACCGGAGTTAAATTCCTGTGGAAGGAAGGCCACGACATTTATGAAGGCTGGATTCCAGAATGCCTGGGGAAAAGTAACTGGGGTCTGGCATAGCAGTGCAGGCCATTTCCCTCACAGCAACTGGTCAAATTGAAAGGCTGGCCAGCGACTGGGAAGTTGGAGCCAGTGACCCCTCTGGATGAACCTGCCTCTGGCGGTGACAGGGTTTAGCAGTGGACCATCGACTTCTCCCCTTTTGACCTGCGAGCTGTGCTTCACAGAATATCTTTCTTGTTGAGCTCCAACTCTCCTCATTCTGTGAGTCTTTCCAAGTCTTTGAAATCCTGACTGGCCACTTCCAAATTTTTAAATCAGGCTTCCAGCCACATGGTGGGATCCTTCCTGCAATGAAGTGTTTCATCTGTAAATCTGTAGCAAAAACAGCAATGAACATGTGTGCGACAAGATAGGGAATTTGTTGGACGTATTAAAAGGTTCAGCCCCCCACGACCTTTTCCTCTCCATCATGGTGGGATTAATACCGAATTAAGGCCTTGGAGATAGAGCCTTTGTTTATTGTGAAGTCAAAACCTCAGGAATACTGGACAAATGCATCTTAAGTAACGCACAAGAATAATTTTGGGTGCCTCCCCTAATTTCAAGGCCTGTTAACTACAGATGACAATGTGTACTCCTTTCAGACAACTTGATTATGGTAAAATGTGGACAGTTCCTTAAAAAAGATCTGCCTGGAATATTCGGTGTCAGGCAGCTGTGCTGTAACAAATTTATAAGATTAGCGTATCATGCTGGGTGAAAATGTTTGGTGAACCGAGGCAATTTGCCAGCTTATTTAAAGGACTTTAACAGAAAGAAAACCTATCATCCTTTTCCTGAACAGTTACCCATAGTGACAGGGTTGCTTATAAAGTGGTTAAATGTGCTAATTTTAAAACATTTAGAGGACGACTTCTTTAATGTCTACTGTTGTGATGAATAGAGACGATTGAATGTTCTTTGGACAAGTGCTGAATTTCTTTTAGATGCGAGCAAGTGTTTAAGTATTCAGTGACTTTGTGAAGTCTCTAGAAAATAGTGTTCAATTCAACAGATAAGTTAGAGCTGAGCTTTGTCTCCTGTTCTTTCCAGTCTTGCATGCTCTGCCCTCCACAGCAGTAGGCCCGATCTCGGTCTGTTTTTGTGACATTGACACTGTGTGTAGAAGTCTGTATAGTATTGCTCCCTGGCTCACCCTGCACTGACTTTGCTCACACTGTTTCATTCTTGGAGAGTTTCATTGTTTCCTGGGAGATGAAATGCTGGAGTTGGAGCTAAATCACAATTATCTCACGTGACCACTACAGCCAGTGAGGTATAGAGACTGTACTTGATCACATACTGCATTGATGTGCCACAAAGCAATAAGTAGCTTGCATTTCCACCATGTGGCGTCTGTGCAAACCTGGCTGTGACATTATCTTCTAGTTGATGATTCCAATCCAGGAACAATGGAGGTGAAAAGTGTCAAATTAGCAATGGGGACAAATTGTCTGCTCCACCTTTTGAGCTTATTATTAATATATGGGACAAAGGATGCTGAGAAAGGCAAGAAAATTAATTATTAAAAATTCTCAGTATTAGCAAATACATATAGTCAGAGCAATGTACTTATCAATGTAATAGCATTTCTTTAGTTGTCTTCTCTTACTTCGTATTGTTGTTCCCAATACTGGAAGGTTAGGAATCAAAGAACACAGATTTAAAGTAAAATAAAACAAAGAACTGCAGGTGCTGGAGATCTGAAACAAACAAAAACAGAAGTTGCTGGATAAACTCAGCAGGTCTGGCAGCATCTGTGGGGAGAAAACAGAGTTCATGTTTTAAGCCCAGCGATCCTGAGGAAAGGCATCTGGCCTGGATGGGGTTAGTAGCAACAGTAAGGACAGGGCTGTGACTTTCTGTGGTCTCCTCCCTCTTGCTGCGGTGTCATTCGATTCAGTACAGAATGGGATACACACCCCCATCCATTCCCTTTTTGATGGTCTCAGGCAAACACAAGAGGCGGGTGTTCTGCCCAGCACCAGTTGAATACCAGCGGCAGCAGGAAATGGCCCTTGAGTAGCTGCTTAAGCGTTTCAGCTGCCCTCCAGGCAGAAAGGTCGCCGCAAGCCTTCCCACCCAATCTTAATCGGAGGGAGTCAGGAAGGCTGTGTGTACTCCAGGCAAGAGATCCAGTGTGACCACATGACCCTCCCCACCTCCAAACATCGCCCTTTGTAGGAGGGTGTGAAATTCCACACCCTTTTTGTAGCTTTATTATTTCACTGCCATGATGCTTTTAAACCATACAAACACCCATAATGCCCGTTGCATTATTCAGTTCATTTTTAGTTGTTGGTGAGTGCATTGTTAAATTAACTGAACATATATTTATTAGCAGTCAATTAATTGTCAGCTTCATGTGACATACATGGCTGTGTTAGAAGTTTTTCCAACCTGTGAAATGTATTATTGATACTTACTTCTCTTCACTCTGTTCTCACCTCTGCATTTTTTTGGATCCCATTAAATGAGCAGATAGTTTGAAACTAAATCTGTGCTGTAATGTTAGGAATAGTCAAAAATTTCTCATTTAAAATAACCAGGAGTTGTCATGATCAAGGCTGGATACCTGAAATAAAATGGAAGAAAATTCAATCAGGGCTTTCAAAAGAAAATTGGATATGCACTTGAAAGAAAGCATTTTAAGAGCAAAGGAGTGGAACAAATTGAGTAGCTCTCTTGAAGAACAGGTGCAGCACATTGGACAATTCATTACGTTAAAGAGGCTACACAAATATAAATCGTTGCTTGTGCAGACCTGATGGGCATAATGGCCTCTTTCTGTCTGCATTTCCCATTGTAAGTAAAGATGTGTCAATTTGTCACAGTGCAAAGTGAAAATCTTGTCCATTCTGTCATGAAAAAACCTGCTGCACAGTTAATTGAACTATTTTACATTTGATGTGATTCTGCCCAGGGGAGGAGCGGTGATTATCTCCTTTTTTAGAACGCCCTCTCTTGACCAGTCACAAAAAATATAACATTTTTGTACACAGATTAAAATCAATTGAAAATGTGTTCACGAGATCAGATTGAAGGAGCAGATTACAAGGTTTTCTTAGTGAAAGATGAATTTTATTACCCACTAAACCTGAGGAAGAAAGTAATGAAACATGGTATCAAGCACGCACAAACATGGGTTGTATGCTTTAAAAGGGGAGTGTGTCTGGTACAAAACACACCATTTAAAAGCCAGTAGAGCCCTTGAGATGTTAGATTTTTAATCTGAGATTGCAGTTGCTTAATTGTCCCTCTATGGTGAGGAAAGTTTATTGATATCTTTGTATTCTAACCAAATGTTTTTTTTTCATCATTTTCTTTCTCACTGGCCGTTATCTTGTGAGGTGATCAGAGGGACATTTCAGTCCTTGTTGTTCTCAGTCCACATTCTTTCTCTCTGCTTCGCTGCTCAAAAACAGCGACTGAAATATGGACTAGGTGGCACAGCAACTGTACATGCGCAGAAGTAAAGTTTTGCAGTGCCAAGTCGTTACAGCAGATGCCATGAACAAAGATGACACTGCCCATATACTCATACTGCAGTTTGGTGCCAGTACCTGAGCGGTGGTAGAATTAGCCCACAGTCTATGAATAGTAAGAAGAACAGGAACAACAGTGGCGGAAAACTGCGCCATTTAACTTGTATTTGTTCACGCATATGTGACATCAGCCGTGTATACAAAGACATATTCTGGTTTACGGACATCTGTCACTGGAAAACAACATCACTGGCCAGTTTTGCTCATGCATCAATGGCCATTTTGGCTTTTGGAATAATTACTCTGGTGAAGTTATCAAACAAGTGTCAATTATAGCAGGAAATGTACATTTGTGATGCTGACTCAGTTGTGTGGTTTTGATGCCTTTAGATAAAATGACAAATTCGGTGCAGGCTGTTTTATTTATCCCACATGGGTCTCCTGGACTTGCCTCAGTCTGTGATCAAGTGATCTTGGTGGCCATTTTAGGTTTTAAAACCATCCTAGTCCATAATAGTACTACCGTACCAATAGATTGTATTGATATGTGGTAAAACACTGTCTAGAAATATGAAATATTAAATCCAGGACAGTAATCCTTTAAAGACTGAAATGAAATATATTTTGTTCCCAATAATAAATTATTATAAAAACAACTCAATTCAAAAAGAAAATGGAGGGATTATTAGCACTATTATTTTTTACATGATTATTGATATTTGACATCAGTACATAACAGGTGAAGATGGGATCGGAATAGGTCTGGATTGTCTGCTGTTTCTAATTCCATAGTTCAATACACAGTTGGTTTAACACGTTTTAACCAATAACAGGAAGTGTGGTGAACACTTCAGTAATGGGATGGAGACAGAGTAGAATTTGTACTGATTGGAACAAGGGCCAGGTGGATCCACTGACTATGAGATCCTTGATTGGTGATGTTAACCTGGGCTACTCAGGGAGCCCTGGCTGACATATAAACAGGAGATTCGGAGACTCCCCTCATTCCAGGGACTGGCTCTGAGGGAGCTAGTCAGAGCCATGTACTGTGCACATGTAAATAAAAGGTGACTTGGTGACAGGTTACCTGCCTCCTTGGAGTCATTTCAAATTCTATTTCAGGTGAAGTTTGTAACAATAAGTAATGTAAAAATAAATGCTGGAGAAATGCATCAGATCTGGACAGCATCCATGAAGACTGAAACAGAGTCAACATTTCAAGTCTAATATGACTATTCTTCAGAACTGAAAGCGGCTGGAAAATGATGAGCCATTTTTATCATGCTGATAGAGAGGGAGGGAGAGTGAGTAATATAGAACATGTGATGGCTAAAGGATCTGTTTACGTTTTGTTGGGTGGAGTTCATTTTCTTAATTAATGTTGAGACAAAGTGTATTTGACTTTGCTGCAGTGTATCAGGGCTTTTTCTTAGTAATTGCTGTGGGATCTTCCTGTGTGCATTTTGGCTGTTGCACCACCTACTCTACAACAGTGGCACTGCTTCAAAAGCAAGTAATTGGTTGTAACGCTGTTTGTACATCCTTGAGCCATGAAAGGTGCTTCTTTCTTTCTATATCTTGATGAAGCAGTAACTTCTACCTCAAATCCTCAATCCTGTGCCATACTGAACTTAATTAAGGATTCTGATTCCAACCACATTCCTTTTTCAGATTCCAATTCCAAATTCTGGTTAAGGGTTCAAAATAAGAAATAGTTAACTGAACAGCTTCTGCTATCATTACTTGATAGCAGACCTGCGTGGCTGGCTATTCATCTTCAGTTCTCTGTCTAAGGCAGGTCTGACCCACCAAAGAGACAGGTCCTGAATCCATACTAACTGGGACCGGGATTGATCTCCATTTGTTAGCACAAATCTGACCCATACCAGCCAACAGAGACAACCGGTCTCAAGCCTACCACACTCAAGGTATCTGAGTTGCTGTAGCAATATACACCTTTACGTGCATGTTGTAGTTCAGAGCTATGAACCAAATTACAAAGCAGTCTGCTTGAATGACAAATTATTCACCATCTTTAACGTTCATTCCCTCCATCCTCCCAACACTGTAACTGCACATGTACCATCTACAGGATGTACTGCAGCAATTCACCAAGAATCTTCACCAGCACCTTCCAAATTTGCGACCTTTGCAACCAGAAAAGACAAGGACATGGAGAATCACTACCTGCATGTTCCCCTCCGAGTCAGACACCATCCTGACTTGGAATTGTATTGCTGTTCCTTCGGTTTGCTCGGTCAAAATGCTGGAACTCCCTCCCTAATGGTAATGTGACTGTACCTACACCCCATGGGTTGGAAGGGATCAAGAAAGTGATTCGTGACTACCTTCACAGAGGCATTTAGGATGGGAAATGAATGTTGGCCTATCCAGCAACACCCACATCCCGGGAAGAAATATATATTTTTTAAAAAATTATGGTAAGGGTTCTAATATTGTCTCCATCACATGACTGAGCAGGAATCTCTGCAGCTGTTAATGCCTGCCATGTTGAAAGGATTTGCAAATTGATACTTAACCCGCTTGGTCAAATTATGAACACTCCTTGCTTAGCCATTAGATTCTGATGTAGGATTTGATCCCAGATCTTCTTGCTTAGATGTAGGAATGCTACTCACTGCACCACAAAACCTCCTGAGTAGTCTCAACCTTCAAATTGTTATGAGTCATATTCACGTGAGGCATGTTTTAATTGCTGGCACAGTACTAAGTACAGGAAATATAACTGTAAACTATTTTATTATTTAGCATTGCCCTCTGAGATACCATTCTGTAGATTTACTGTACGTCAACACATAAAGGTGCTTAATGTGCGAGAAAGACAACGTAGTTATTCTAGTTAGGTTAATGTGAAAACATTGCAGCAAGTATCTTTTTCTTACAATATGCCATATTAATGTTTATACAAACGCCAGTAAAATATATTTGACATTGCAATGATGCGTGTTCATTGTTGGATTAGTATTACAGAAAGTACACATTACCAATCAGGTTTGGAAGTTTACAATGTCAATCAAACCTACCCAAATAATGGTGGACTCAAGAAAATGTGATTTAATTTAAAACTGAGGAGTTAACCATGTGTACACTGCTTCAACTAATCTTTGAAACAAAACTCTACAGGCACTTCCTGTAATGAGTTTTCCACTCCAAATTGCTTTGTTCTCATGCCTATTTCACCATCTGCTTCTGTAATTACACCTCCTTCAATTCAGTTTCAAGGTTGCAGGAGTGTACCGGCAGGCAGGAAGGTGGTTTGAAGTGTGTCTACTTCAACGCCAGGAGCATCCGGAATAAGGTGGGTGAACTTGCAGCATGGGTTGGTACCTGGGACTTCGATGTTGTGGCCATTTCGGAGACATGGATAGAGCAGGGACAGGAATGGTTGTTGCAAGTTCCGGGGTTTAGATGTTTCAGTAAGATCAGGAACGGTGGTAAGAGAGGGGGAGGTGTGGCATTGTTAGTCAAGGACAGTATTACGGTGGCAGAAAGGACGTTTGATGACAACTCGTCTACTGAGGTAGTATGGGCTGAGGTTAGAAACAGGAAAGGAGAGGTCACCCTGTTGGGAGTTTTCTATAGGCCTCCGAAAAGTTCCAGAGATGTAGAGGAAAGGATTGCAAAGATGATTCTGGATAGGAGCGAAAGTAACAGGGTAGTTGTTATGGGGGACTTTAACTTTCCAAATATTGACTGGAAACGCTATAGTTCGAGTACTTTAGATGGGTCAGTTTTTGTCCAATGTGTGCAGGAGGGTTTCCTGACACAGTATGTAGATAGGCCAACAAGAGGCGAGGCCACATTGGATTTGGTACTGGGTAATGAACCAGGCCAGGTGTTAGATTTGGAGGTAGGTGAGCACTTTGGTGATAGTGACCACAATTCGGTTACGTTTACTTTAGCGATGGAAAGGGATAGGTATATACCGCAGGGGAAGAGTTATAGCTGGGGGACAGGCAATTATGAGGCGATTAGGCAAGATTTAGGATGCATAGGATGGAGAAGGAAACTGCAGGGGCTGAGCACAATTGAAATGTGGAGCTTGTTCAAGGAACAGCTACTGCGTGTCCTTGATAAGTATGTACCTGTCAGGCAGGGAGGAAGTGGTCGAGCGAGGGAACTGTGGTTTACTAAAGAAGTTGAATCTCTTGTCAAGAGGAAGAAGGAGGCTTATGTAGAGATGAGGCGTGAAGGCTCAGTTAGGGCGTTTGAGAGTTACAAGTTAGCCAGGAAGGACCTAAAGAGAGAGCTAAGAAGAGCCAGGAGGGGACATGAGAAGTCTTTAGCAGGAAGGATCAAGGAAAACCCTAAAGCTTTCTATAGGTATGTCAGGAATAAAAGAATGACTAGAGTAAGATTAGGGCCAGTCAAGGACAGTAGTGGGAAGTTGTGCGTGGAGTTCGAAGAGATAAGAGAGGCGGTAAATGAATATTTTTCATCAGTATTCACACAGGAAAAAGACAATGTTGTCGAGAATACTGAGATACAGGCCATTAGACGAGATGGGATTGAGGTTCATAAGGAGGAGGTGTTAGCAATTCTGGAAAGTGTGAAAATAGATAAGTCCCCTGGGCCGGATGGGATTTATCCTAGGATTCTCTGGGAAGCTAGGGAGGAGATTGCAGAGCCTTTGGCTTTGATCTTTATGTCGTCATTGTCTACAGGAATAGTGCCAGAAGACTGGAGGATAGCAAATGTTGTCCCCTTGTTCAAGAAGGGGGGTAGGGACAACCCTGGTAATTATAGACCAGTGAGCCTTACTTCAGTTGTGGGTAAAGTGTTGGAAAGGATTATAAGAGATAGGATTTATAATCATCTAGAAGGGAATAATTTGATTAGGGATAGTCAACACGGTTTTGTGAAGGGTAGGTCGTGCCTCACAAACCTTATTGAGTTCTTTGCGAAGGTGACCAAACAGGTGGATGAGGGTAAAGCGGTTGATGTGGTGTATATGGATTTCAGTAGGCTATTGCAGAAAATACGGAGGCATGGGATTGAGGGTGATTTAGCGGTTTGGATCAGAAATTGGTTAGCTGTAAGAAGACAGAGGGTGGTGGTTGATGGGAAATGTTCATCCTGGAGTTCAGTTACTAGTGGTGTACCTCAAGGATCTGTTTTGGGGCCACTGCTGTTTGTCATTTTTATAAGTGACCTGGATGAGGGCGTAGAAGGATGGATTAGTAAATTTGCAGATGACACTAAAGTCGGTGGAGTTTTGGATAGTGCGGAAGGATGTTGCAGGTTACAGAGGGACATAGATAAGCTGCAGAGCTGGGCTGAGAGGTGGCAAATGGAGTTTAATGCGGAAAAGTGTGAGGTGATTCACTTTGGAAGGAGTAACAGGAATACAGAGTACTGGGCTAATGGTGAGATTCTTGGTAGTGTGGATGAGCAGAGAGACCTCGGTGTCCATGGGCATAGATTACTGAAAGTTGCCACCCAGGTTGATAGGGTTGTTAAGAATGTGTACGGTGTGTTAGGTTTTATTGGTAGAGGGATTGAGTTTTGGAGCCATGAGGTCATGTTGCAGCTGTACAAAACTCTGGTGCGGCCGCACTTGGAGTATTGCGTACAGTTCTGGTCGCCACATTATAGGAAGGATGTGGAAGCATTGGAAAGGGTGCAGAGGAGATTTACCAGGATGTTGCCTGGTATGGAGGGAAGATCTTATGAGGAAAGGCTGAGGGACTTGAGGCTGTTTTCGTTAGAGAGAAGAAGGTTAAGAGGTGACTTAATAGAGACGTACAAGATGATCAGAGGATTAGATAGGGTGGACAGCGAGAGCCTTTTTCCTCGGATGGTGATGGCTAGCACGAGGGGACATAGCTTTAAATTGAGGGGTGATAGATGTAGGACAGATGTCAGAGGTAGGTTCTTTACTCAGAGAGTAGTAAGGGCGTGGAATGCCCTGCCTGCAACAGTAGTAGACTCGCCAACTTTAAGGGCATTTAAATGGTCATTGGATAAACATATGGATGATAATGGAATAGTGTAGGTTAGATGGGCTTCAGATTGGTTTCACAGGTCGGCGCAACATCGAGGGCCGAAGGGCCTGTACTGCGCTGTAATGTTCTATGTTCTATGTTCCCCTCCACATTGCCTTATAAGGACAGGCTGGACAGGCTAAGCTTGGGTCCACTGGAGTTTAGAAGTGTAAGCGGTGACTTGATTGAAACATGTAAGATCCTGAGGGGGCTTGTCAGGGTGCATATGGAAAGAATGTTTCTTCTTGTGGGAGAATCTAGAATGAGGAATCACCGGTTTGATATAAGAGTTGCTCATTTAAGACATAGGAAAGGAGAAATATTTTTTCCACAGAAGATTGTGAATCTTTGAATCTGTTCCTCGAAAGATGGTGGAAGCAAAGTCCTTGAATATTTTTTAGGCTGGGGTAGATAAGATTCCTGGTAAGCAAGAGGGTGAAAGGTCATCCTGGGTGGGTATGAATGTGGAGTGATCATATCAGCCATGATCTTATTGAATGGTGGAACAAGGTATGTCCTTTTTAGCAGAGGTGCTGCAGTGTCTTTGCTGGTGGAAGATTGTAATTTCAGTGTGACATTTTTGTAAGGACAGTTTCAATTATAAACAAGAGCTTGAATTTTATGCAAAACATCTTGAGACTCTTCACAGGAGTGTTAACAAACAATATTTGATGCCAAACCACGTAAGGAAATATTAGAAACGGTGACCAAAAATTTGGTCAAAGAGCTAGACGGGAAAAAAGAATAGAAATACATCAATAGGATTGAATCTATGGCTTTAAAGTGAAGAATGACTTTTGCGTTCCTTGGTTGAATTATTCTTGGCATTGAACCTTCCTTCACCTGAAAATTGCACTTGTCTTTGAGTCCCCTACTGCAATTCTACAGAAGATTGACTCGTATTTGAACAATAAGTAGTTCTGTAACGCAGTGTCAGGGCTCTGGACAAAAATTGTTTGTATGATTTATCAGATCACCAAAATCCCTCAGCTGTGTTACACTTCTGTAACAGATTCACAGTTATTTCTTGGTTTCAGTCTGATATCGTACAGTGTGTGCATACCAAGTTTCATGCAAGATAAGTCAAAATTCTTTGGTAGTGCCAGTAATGCTTATTAAAGAGTGCAATGAAATTTCAGGAGGTTGAATTTCCATGGGGTCTTTTCCCCTGATTTTCTGGAAAAATATCCTGGAGAAATGATATAAATGGCATTAGTGTTGGTTCTCCGGATCTTCTGTTGAGCTTACAGCAAAACTACAAACTGCAAAAATATACTGCTACTCAATCAAGCAAAGAGTCTCTCAGTATCAAAAGTCATGATTAGTGACATATTGCAGTCAGGTAAATAACACTTAGATTTTGTACATTGAGTGTTGTGTTTGAGTCTTGAACTGTGACAAAATGGAAATGACATACTTGGATTTTAATATGCTTTAATGGTCAACATTTGCTGTTTTGTTAAATTAACTCCAAGCATAATGTGACTGTGAATGTAAAAGATATTCTGTCTTTCACATTGATTTTTTTTGGCATTCTTTGCGTCACAATCCAAGTCTGTCATTTGCCAACCAGAACTTGCATGTGATTGTTACTTATGATTACATTATTGTTAACTAATACCAATAAACCACTCAGGAAATCAATCCATGAGCTATTTTTGTCTTCTCAGCGCCTCCTTGTTAAGTCCATTGTGTTTTAATCACTTTTAATTTAACTGAACAAATTAAGTACCTCTCAGAACTCGATATGGCCAGCAGGAGGATTACAGATGGCCAAATGCTCTTCATGCCTTCGCTGATTGGTCATCCTCAGAAACAAGTCTAAACCAGCGTTACTAACTCTTCAGAAAGAACCACAATCCTAAATGATCTCCTGTTTGAGATGTACTTTCAGGAATGCTACATCCAGACCACTGTGATGAGGATCTCCACAATGAATCCCTGATACCATAGACTCCAATTGTAAATGGTAGACAGGGTACATTGGTGTAAAAAGAGAAAATAAAACCCATTCATTCATGGGATGTGAGCAACATTTACTGCCCACCCCTAATTCCCCAGAGGGCATTTAAGTGTCAATCACATTGCTATGGGTCTGAAGTCACATGTAGGCCAGACCAGGTAAGGATGGCAGTTTCTTTCCTTAAAGGATATTAGTGAATCAGATGGGTTTTTCTGATAACTGGCAAAGGATTCATGGTCATCATCAGACTCTAAATTCCAGGTTTTTTTAAAAAATGAATTGAAATTCCACCATCTGCTATGACAGGATTGAAACCTTGGGTCTCTGGATTAACAGTCCACTATAATAGCACCGGGCCATTGCCTCCCCTAATTGGAGTATGAAATTATTTTATTTTAAATGTTAGCTATCTACAGGGGCTTTTTAATCTCTTTTTAAACAGTATCACTTTCTCCCTCTTACCAAACGAAGGCAGAGAGTAGCAATTCATTCAGCTTGTTTACCATTCTACAGTTGGGCAAGCCAAGTGTGTTGAGCAGCAAAACTACCTTGGGCTGGTGTAAAACAGTAACCCTATTATGAGTACTGGTATGTCAGGGATTCAACCATGGAGACACAAGAGCTCGACCTTCCTCACAGAACTATTTCTTTCCAACATTTTCTGTTTTTATTCAAATAAGTACTGATGTTTGTCATATTTCACTGAGTAGAAAATGGTTACTGGGTTTACCTGTAACACAACAATCACTAACTTTCAAAGAAATTAATTGTCCTTGAAGCACATTGAGGTATTTCTGAGAGATTTGATATGGTGCTACATAAATGTACTTTTTCTGATGGCGTTTGTTACTATTGTATTAAATCAGTAGACGTTGCAGCCTTCTGGCAGTAATTTTAAAACTCTCTGGTAGCTAGTTTACGTCCTAATTGATCAGCTCGGGTACCTTTTAGCTCAGATCCAGCTTTTCACGTCAGAATCTCCGACTTGCTCTGAACATTGGGCGACGTACAACACTTAATTTTTGGAAAGCCCTGAGTGATAACAATGAGCTGGTTATCCAGTAAACATGAAAGGGGGTGGGAAGGAGTGAGGAAATTGTTAAATTACTCCCCATCATTGGTAATCTCTTCCTTAAGAGCAGCTAAGGCTAATGTCCGGTGTTGGTTCCTGCGGGATTAAAATTGGTGGATGTCTTTGAGCTTTTTACAGCACTTAGCGGAGTTCATTTTCTAATTGCCCTCTTACCATCTCCCTTTTGCAAAGTGGCACATTCCTGTCTAGGGAAGGATGGACTTGTGATTAGTTAGTGGAGGAGTTGTTTGGCTGAGAGAGAGAGAGAGCCATGTTTGACAGCAGAGTGCTTGTGTTACAAATGCAAATGAACAAGTGGATTAAGAAAGGATTGAAAAGATTGTCCAATATTAAAAAGCCTTCTGAGTGGGTAAGCTTTTTTAAATTAAAATTAAAATGTAACCATTGGTAATGTATATCGGCAGCAATAATGTGTTTTCAGTGACATTGCTTGGGCAAGATTAAGGGGTCTTAAAGCTACAAAACTTGAACAAAAGACATGTTTCAGACCTGGTATCTTGTATCATTCCTTTCTGCGTGCACCTTATCCGAGCTCATTCTGAATCATCTAACCACGTCGAAAAGAAACAAATGTTTCAATAGCTTCAGGCACTAAGGGGAAGGTGTGTTGCTTCTGTAGACAGGTATGGGTTGCAGTGGAGGCTTTATATAATTCATTGTCTTCTACTTTTAATTGATTTAAAATCTCTGATCAACCTTTCTCCCTAACCTGTTGCTTTGCTATTTTAAATAGTTAAAATATTTTTTGCGCTTGTCCGACATTCACGCTGCTTCACCTGGCTACAGTGTGCAAAATCTGACATTGATCCTGAGACTGAATATTCAAATACATAAAACTAGCAAATCAGATAAGCTTTGTCACGCTGACTGCCTTGTTATGGTATCTAATATATTTTCTAACCACAGTCAAATGGACATCGTGCATCAAAATAACTTCTGCAATATTTCTGATCAAATTTAAATCGTGTAGATCCGAACTGAATTCGTGCTAGCACTTTTACCCCTGACATTTTTATGGATGTTTGCCCTGGACAATGTTGTGTAAATAACTGAAATCTAACGTGTCTTAAAACGGCAGAATCACTGGATGCGTCTGGATTACGTGGAGGTAGTTCACACTGAACAATAATTCGCAGTAATTTTAGCGTGCTCAGTCTTTTTAAAAAAAAATCAATATCTTTACTGTTCCAATTAGTCATAAACAGCTGTAATTAAAGGGAGCAGAGTTGAAATTGTAGTTGATCGAAGTGCCCAGAACATATGTAATAGGGTCGATCTAAAACAAACTCCCAGGAACAGGGTTAGTAGCATGTCTTGGGCAAGAATCCACTAGGGCATATAAGTAGCACTGTCCCCTAGATCGGGGGACACATTACTCCTCCAAGGTTAGAATTAAAGGACCGAATATAAGTTTTTTTTTTAATTCTGTTCAGATCCCTGTCAAGATAATCAAACCAATTGACACTCTCCTGCTGAAGGTTTGGGACTTTTCCCAGGGCCTGGACAAAACTACACACCAGTTCTCAATTGGCAGCATTTTTATTGATGTCTTATAAGAGCCCATTGGGCAGAATTCCCAGGATAGCCAGGCAACTGACTCAAACAGGTACATGAGCAGTGCTGGGGGTAGTGAAGATTGATAGTGGCCTATCAGACATAAAGTCATATGCACACCTCAACCCCACTGCTATGTCCCATGAGTAGGAGGCGGGATGCCAGTTAAGTTGAGTTCGAACCCAAATTCCAGCTGTGGGTATATGATTTGCTCGGTACCTGCCCTGGCCCAAGATTCAGCAATCATGGGCTAGTAGACTTTTCTCTTGCGGAACTGATTGTCAAAACATTGTGTATACCCCTTTTTTTTCCCCTCTAATCATCCCATATCTACTACATACACAGGATTTGTTTTGCATCTAAAAACTAGTGTTTTTGTTTTACGGCCTAGAAACTTTAAGTTTCAGCAGGTTTGTGGAGTTTGTATGAAGTGGTTCCTACGGCCTCGCATATTGGAAAAGATTGAGAAATTGTTTGGAATGCCAAGGCCCTCCTGAAGGATAACACTGAGGCTGAATGGTGTTAAAAGCAATGAGATAAGACAAAGAGCAGCAGACGCTGGAAATCTGAAACAAAAACAGAAACTTCTCAAGAAACTCAGCAGGTCTGGCAACGTTTGTGGAGAGAAAGCAGAGACAACTGTTCTAAAGGAGGATCACTGGCATTGAAATGTTGACTGCACTTTCTGTCCACAGATGCTTCCAGACCTGCTGGGTCTCTCCAGCAATTTCTGTTTTTAAATCATGCAATAGATTGGCATTCGATAAAAGCCTGAAGGTTACAGAAGAAAATTAAAGGATTTGAGAAGTTAAACAGTTCAAGAAAGAGATTAGGCTGTCAGTGCATGAGGTTTGGGCCAGGAATTTTCTCCAAACCACCCCAGCTTTGCTGTTCCACTTTCACCAAAGATGCTTTGTAAATCCAGGTTTACATGTCAGCAGAAGTGGGTCTGTGAAAATTCCTGCTTAATAGAGATTTTTCTTTCCATTGAAATAGACAATAATGATGAGAGATTAGTTAGAGGTTAGAAGTGAGATGAGCAACTTTGTCTTGCACCCTGCCCAGAAGTAGGGGGGGAAGGAGCATGTGGCAGGGTTTGGAGTGCTAGGGGACAAAGGATGTTGATATTTCAGATTAAGTGATTGGAATGTTTGTTTGAAGGAAACGTAGGTGTTTGGCACAAAAGAAAAGTTGCAATTGGGCTATTTGTTTCACAAAAGAGATGTGGAGGTACCCCTTTGATGTCAAAGGAGCTTATGAGGTCAAGAATCTCGGAAGGAAGAATTAGGATGGAACCCTGCACATTAGAAAGAAAATTAAGAATGTCGATTGGGGCTTTATTATTCTGTTGAAGGACTTGAAGATTGAGATATGGTGATTCATCCTCTACATTGAGGAACTTACAAGTATTTTCAGATTCTTCTGTGACAGGTATGGCGAATGGAATAATTTGCAGAAGATTGGAAAGGATTGATTTGATGAGGAAGAGAGGAGAAAATGGGAGAAAAACTGAGAGAAATGAGACCAAATGATTGGGTACTCTGCTTTTCATGGGGGAAAAGCATTAAATCCAGCATCAATTGAGGAGTTTGAGAGACACCTGAAGAGCAGTCATCATGTACCTTTTGGTAAGAGGTCATATGATTTTGTTAAATAGTATACAATGCTGGGCTGTGTCAAGGTAATCAAAACGTGTTTAAAAAGCAGATTTACAAAGTACTTGATATCAGCAACTGCATATGCAGTGGAGAGCTCACAGTGATAAATGCACTGATAATCATGGATTCAAAGACACACATCTTGAGGGTTGTCATGAGGCTTGGGGTCAGGAGATCTAGCAGATCAAGGGGCCGACACATGTTGGTGTCAAACAAAATGGAGTAATTGTTGTTGATCCAGAGTAAATTGCCAGGATCTTTGGATTTGGAGACAGAAAAGTGAGCCAGGAAAGTTCGCTGTCTCTTAGGAACTCTGAATTCCAAGTATATCAAGTTAACTCAGCTTATTCTGAAAGCTTCTATCTGGTGTTGCCTCCATTGTAACACAAGAAAATATGCATTTTGATCATTCGACTTAATACTTCCCCCCTCAAAACCGAAAACGGTTGAAATAGTTGGCATGTTAGGCACTGGGTAAATGAGGAGGATATGGAGAGTAGGAGCAAATTACTGCAGATGCTGGAATCTGTACTGAAAACAAATGCTGGAGATCAGGTAGCATCCATGGAGAGAGAGTAAGCTAACGTTTTGAGTCTAGATGACTCTTCATTAGAGCTGAAGTGATGAAGAGCCATCTAGACTCAGGTTAGCATGTTCTCTCTCCATGGATATTGCCTGACCCACTGTGATCTCCAATATTTGTTGTTCTCAGGATACTCAGAGTGATCAGTTTGATGTTGAACTGTAGCAATGAGGAGAAAGGTGACCCGATGGAAGCGAAAGGAAGCATGAATAATTGAGGAGGGAAAAAAAAAGAATTGCCGATGCTGGAAATCTGAAACAAAAACAGAACTTGCTGGGAAATCTCCCCGCAGGTGTGGCAGCAAATCTGGAGAGAATTCAGAATTAACGTTTCGGAAGAAGAGGCTCCTCAGATGCTGCCAGACCTGCTGAGTTTTTCCAGCAATTTCTGTGATTGTGGGGATGGAGGGCTGGCTGGCTACATATTTGTTCCAAGCCCATCCTAAGTATACACTGTAGCCATTAAAATTTCCTTCCACAGGCAGCATATCCATCAATATACACCAGAAGATTTAAAAAAAAATGAGAAGCAGACAAACAGAAGCAAAAGGAATTAAGGGCAGAGAAGAAGATAATTAAAAGAAGCTAGAGAGATTGAGGCAAACAGCAAAATGAAGACTTATCAGATGGATATGAGAGTGACCAGATTCAATGACCAGCATTTGCAATGGCACCAGTGATCGATTAGTGACTCAAAGTATGAATTAACATTATTTTGCCTCTTCTGGGACCTCCAGTTTGATCTTATTTCTTTGTGTTCCTGTTGGCTCCCTTATTTAATAAACAACCGTCCCCAACAGATCCTAACTCTCAGCCATCGCTGCCCTCTAAAAGACTGGTGGAGGCTACTGCAACTTGCATCATGGTGGATCCCTTTACTTCCTTGGAGTCCAACTGTTTTCACACAGCCTCTTCCATTACTTCTTCCCAGCCATGTGGCCCCAATATGATTGTTTTATGGATATTATCCCCTTGAAATCCTCATCACTATATTACATTCTTGTCTAGTTGGTATTCCAATGGCTATTTGATTTAGTTGAACACGGGACATTTTGCTTCCAACTTTTAAGAAAAAAAACCTAAAAAGATGACATGCAAATCATTGTGCTCAATGTGTTGCTATAAATGTACAACAGT